AAAGCAGCTTTCAGGAAGTGGTTTGCCTATTGGCAGATCCGGATCTGTCCCCAAACCTGCCATCATTTGTGGTGCCAGCAAAGGGTGTTACATCTCCAGGAGCCACAGACTCTGGTAGCAGGGGTGCTGGGGTGCTGACTCCAGGGCTGGCTGAGCTGTGAATTTCTCTGCAGGCTGCACTTTCCCTCTGACAGGCACACAAGGCCAGAGTCTGGCTTGGTTGATCGTTTCAGGCGGGGCTTCTGAAGCCCTTTGGTCATCTGAGCCAGAACGATCGGTGCTTCTTCCTTGCTGTCTTCATTCTCTTTGTGTTCATTGTTGCTGCTTAAATCCCATGCACACAGAGATACACGCACTGAGCTTGTCTTATTACAGGATTTGACCCAACAGTGTGGGTTGAATCAAAAGGAGCTGTAAAATTTCCCAAGAATTTATTTCCTTTGAGCTAGACATTTTTTCTTTCTCATATTTTGTGACAGTCTAATTAAACTGCTAAATCACGTGGCTGGACTTGAACTTGTATTTCTTCTACCTCAACCTCCCAGGCTGCTGGAATTACAGATGTGTACTAGATTTTGTCTTTAATTTTTCATTTTGGGAACAGTATGGTCGTTAGCCTTTATATCCATTACTGCCTTCAAGCCAAGGGACCAGATCCAAGGGACTATATTCAACCAGCAGGCCTATGCTTACAGATGCTCACTGCTAATGTTGATACCAAACTAAAGGTGGCTGCTGTTGGCGTAAACCTCACACCAACCACTGCCTGCAGCTTGGCCTTGGCTACCAGTTTTTCTATGTCCAAAAGTTCTGCCATTCTGCAAAGTCTGAGCACATCCCCTTTTTCACTCAGTGGGAAGCTGGGACGCAGCTGGCCTGCTCCTTCCCTATCATTAGCAACTGTCATGTATTCATTAGTTCCTTTATTGTCAAACACCTTCTGAGTGCCATGCCAGTGTTCTATGCTAGGGAGAGTGTGGGCGAGTGAAACACTGTCCTTGGTCTAACAGTGTTTATCTTCTATGGAAAGAAAGGGGCGCAGAAAGCACGTAAATAAAAGAGATGATTATTAGATAGCACATAAACGCTATGAAGAAAAGAATGAAGATAATGAGGTAAGATGACAGAGACTCTGGAAGGAGGTAACGTTGAGCAGGGGCTGAAGAAGCAACTGGCAGAGCCCTGGAAGCACAGGTGAAAGGAATGTGGGGCCAGGGGCTGAACCCAGAGCTGCACAGCTGCTGCAGGACAAGCCGCATCCACCCTGGTCTGGCCTGCTGTGCCCACGGAGCTGCACTCAGGTCCCAGGGGGTGCTCCTCACTGCAGTGAGAACCTGTCACTCTAGCACTTGGCTTTACTTTCTGTAAATTGCGGACTTCTGATCTTTACAACGCCTCACAGCCCAAAGCTACCACACTTCAGGGCAAAGCTTATTTTTTTTGTTGCTGTTTTAACTTTAATAAAACAAAACAAAGTTGTGTAACATGTGAGAAGAATACTGTGACAAAAAGTCAATTTTACCACCACCATGCCCGACAACACTGTTCTCCTTTGCCCTGCAATGCTCTGGTTCCTGCCGATGTGTAGGATGTTGATACGTTTCACTAAGTGAGAGCAATACAGGGCACTGAGCCAAAATGAAACAATTTACCAGTTTAATACATTCATTGCCTCTCTTTTTCCTTCCACAGCCCACCTATCAACTGAAAGTGCAGCTAACATCCCAACAGAGAACTGGGATAAGCACTGTGCAAGTTGTTTTAAGTGCATTATCTCAATAATCAGCATGACAATGCCAGAGAGGCAGAGGCTATCACTATTCTCCTGCTACACAGAAAAACCAAGAGGCTCAGAAAGATTAAATAAATTGCCTGAGAGTATGTAAATTATCACCATTCGTGATGTAAGCAGGATTCAAACCTAAAACTCTCAAAGCTGTTGTGTACAATCCCAAAGCAAACTCCAATCTAGATCACTTTCCCGGTGGGTGCATCAGTTCCTGGAAAGCATCGCCAGCTCTGATTGTCTTCAGACAGAAACTCCTGCTCCTGCCTGGTGCAGCGCCACCCCCAAGGACTGTCCTCTGTCCTCTGTCCTTTCACATTTATCTCTCACTCTTACTGATTATTTTCAGGCAGACAGCTTTGTAAACAGTTGCTGTTTACCAAAGTCTTTCAAACACATGACCTCACTTGAGACCCATGAGGTAAGCAGGTAGGAAGGGGTATCTTCATGTCTGCAGGAGCCAGGTGAAGAGGCAGGACTTGAAATGACCAGCCCAAGGTCATCCAGACTGTGGGAGCCTTCTGTCAGGCCAGGGTCGGAGGGTCAGTGGCTCATATGATCAGTAGATATTAAAATTCTATGTTTTGTGGCTGATATTACTACAGGAGAAGAGGACTGAATGTTCTCAGTTGCCTGCTGCTTAAAGCATTTCTACCCCAAGACGTGCCCCTAACACTTCTTGGCTTTTGGAAGCCATTTGCCAGCTCCATATCACTGTTCTCCAAAGAACCCTGCGAAGCAATGAAGGATCCTATGTGACGTAGTTGGGTCAAGGTGAAATTGGGCTGCTTGATTGGCCCAACTTCCTCTTTTTAAATTTCTATTTCTTTTAGTATAAGTCATCAATGAGAATGGACCAAACCAACTATATTGCCATTTAAGAATTAGTGGCAGAGACGGGCATGGTACTACATGCCTGTAATTCCTGCACTTGGGAAGTTGAGACTGGAGGATCACTGTGAGTTTAAGGCCAGTCTGGGTTACAATTTGAGTTCAAGGCCAGCCTGAACTGCAGAGTAAGACCCTATTTAAAAAAAAAAAAAAAAAACTAGTAGCAGAACTCACAAAATGTTCACAAAGCTTATAGTCTACAAAGGGCTTTCAAGTTTCTTATTTCAGTAATACTCAGGTTTATACCTAAAATGTACCAATAAAACTCAATTGAAAAAGTAAAAAATTCCCCAGGCAGTCAACCTTCTATTTGTGCCCATCATACAGATGAGGAAACTGAGCTTTTTTTTTTTTTTTTATCTTTTTCCTTTTTTATCGGTACCGGGGGTCAAACTCACGACTGCCTGCTTGCAAGGCAGGCGCTTATGCCGTTGAGCTAAATCCCCAGCCCTAGGAAACTGAGCTTTAGAAATGCCACAGAGCTAGCAAGCAACCTTGTCAGGACGAACACTGAAGTCCAATTTGTCTAACATGAATCCAAATTTAGTCCATGCTCTGTTTTCCTTACATCATACTGTTTTTTGTTCTTTCCCTTTCTTTCTTTCTTTCTTTCTTTCTTTCTTTCTTTCTTTCTTTCTTTCCTTCCTCTTCCTTTTTTTCTTTCTTTGAGACTGGGTCTTGCTATGGGTTCAGGCTAACCATGAACTCACCATGTAACTTTAGGCTGGCTTTGAATTTGTGGCAATCATCCTGTCTCAGCCTCCTGGATGCTGGGATTAGTTACATGCTACCATGCTTCGCATGTTTGTTGTCCCCCTTCAAAAAAAATTAAAAATTTCAAGGCTGGGAAGCCAGCTCAGTGGTAGAAGTCTTGCCTAGCATGCAAGTGGCTCTGGTTTCAATCCCCAGCCAGCACTGCATGAAAAAAAATTCAGCAAACCTAAAATTATTTATTACTGCAGCACTCCCTTCCAGATAATGCCCTTTAAAGATTATTCTCCAAGCACTATCTGAGCATCTGGCAAATGGTTGGATCTCTCCTCATGGCAGCTGGAAACCACTGAGTAAAACATTTACCAAGTTGTTGACATAATGGGTCTGGGTGTTTGCTTAGGTGTCAGGCAGTTGTAGATTGCCTTTTAACGCTCTATTTTGAAATGAAAATAAGTGTAATGGGCCCAAAATGGCCCTAATAGAATGTCAAGAATAATCAATACCTTGCTATGATAAATTGGCAGTTGTGCTAGGGAACACAGTGGGGGGACCATTAGTCCTGCTAATTGATGGGGATGGGAGGGAACTCAAGAGGCCTTGGAAAAGGAGGAGGAGGACGGCTGGAGTGTGCAGGGATCAGGAATTCCAAGGATGACCTCAGGCCAGGAACAGGATCCTTCCTCCGAGATACCCAGGGGCTAGAGCTATCTCAGCCACTTGCAAATCAGGTTGCTTTCTTAAAGGTGAAGGGGAACTCTCATCTGTGGATGGGCCACAGATATGCAAAGCTGAACAGAGAACAGGTGGCCAAGGCAGGAATTTTAGCATTTCTAAAGAAGGATGGGTCAGTCTGAAGGAAGCCAAATCTTTCCAGAAATCTTGGAAAGCAGAGACTGATGGCTTCTCAGCACTGGACTTGGAATCTTTCTCTACTGGGGGACTATGTAGAGACGAATGCCTCAGGCCCTCAGGTTAACTCGAAGCTGCTAACCTTTCAGACGGGATTAGGACCAAGGACCTCCTAGATTGCAGCTTGGCTTCCCACGAGGGTGCGAGGGTGCGGGGAACCCGCGGGGGAGGGGCCAATGATCCCTGGTCTTGCTGGGGCTGAGGATGGGAGTGACACACAGCGGCTGTCAGTATTCAACTGACCCCGGGTTAGGTCAACAAAAGATCCCAGTAGAATTGTTTGGGTAGCAGAATGAGCGAGATGCCAATTCGTGGGCTGTGCAAGAGGTGAGGAAGAGCACCTGCAGTGAGAGCTAAAGGTATAGCTGGAGGGAACTGAGTGAAGGGATTATTTGCTTATTTAAGTATTGAGCCAGGTTTACTCAGTGCAGCTCAGGCCTGCCTCCCAGGATCCTCCTGCTTCAGCATCCTGAGCGCTGGGGTGATAGGTGTGCACTGGATCTAGCTATCTTTTTTGGTATTAAAAACTTAAGCTTTGATGGGAAGAGTGGTGGAAAGGAAAGGAACTGGTTCAACACACTGCAGGGAGAAGTCCTCATTGGCTACGGTAGTGCCCTGAAGCAAACCTACAGTGAGGACCGGAAGTCAGGCAGGACCGGAAGTGCGAGCAAGACGGACCGGAAGCGGAAGCGTGGACGGAGCCCTGAGAGCCGTGAAGAGTTTTATTTGGCGAGTGAATGAGCCAGTTTTGGGTGGGTTTCCCTGTCTCTTGAGGAGGGAAAAAGGACCCCATTTGTTTCTCTGCAGATAGTGACGCACCCATGAGTGAGCGAGAACTGACTTTCTATCCTCAGCATTAAAATCAATGTTAGAAATGGGGCGAGTCGGGGCCCAGCACCCGGAGTCAAGCAGGAGGATCTCTGTTAAGGCCCGCTTGGGCTATGTAGTGAGACCTCTCCCCCAAAAGAAATTACCAGCGGGGTGCCTTAAAATACTAAGCTTTCCAGTACATTTATTAATGTGTGGGTTTTTGGGGTAGTGATAATCGAACAAAGGACCTTGCGCTTGCCTGGGGGGCACTGTGCTGCTGAGCTGTGTCCCCCGCCCCATACATTTAAATTGGGATTTTAGGGTCCATGCAGACCCTTCCAGGAATACTGCTTAGCATGATGAACAGGGCCACCGGGACAGGCCACTTCCCCTGGTAGGCAGCTTGAGATTCCAAAGCGATTTTTAGGCCTGCAGTAAGAGGGGTTTTACTGAACTCTGGCCAGTGGATTTGTGCCCCCACATCCCAGGACTTGCTTCTGCCTTGGATGCAAGGAGAGCAGATTTCCGATCCTGATTTAGGAAGAGGACAGGAACAGAGTTCTGGACCGGAGCCCTTTGGTGACAGCAACTTTGAAATACCAGCTGGAGGCTGCCGCTTTTATAGGAAGACTGAGGCATGTGTTTTGTCTAGACTGGGCTTGTGGGGCCCGGGGCCACATGTGAGAAGTGACGCGGTGTGGATTTGCACATGGCCTCTCGGGCCAGCAGTGCGATGCGGAGGGAAGGCGGGAAGGCCAGGACCTGTGTCTTCCGGCTGTGGCTTTGGAGCCGCCGTTTTTCTTGGACTTCACTAGAAATGGGGTTGATAATACCAGACTCGAGGGCTCCATGAGAATCAGGAAGTCATGTTATTGGAAGTTTTATTTTATTTTAAAGACAGAAAAAATAAAGTTCCAAAACAAGATAATTAGAGGGCAATGATGGTTAATACATTGCATGTTATCTTTAAATTACTCAAAGTACAGAATGTCTGCATCTAATTATCCAAACAATATTAGCACAAACTTTTTTAATGAACTAAGAAATTAGTGTTTATTATACACACACACATATTTCAGTGTCTCACACTATTGAGACAATACAATGTTTACCCGTGTGAGTCTGATTTATTTCACTTGGAAGTATGGTTTTGAGTTGCATTCCTTTACTTATAAAAGTTGCTCAACTTTATTCTTTTTTATGGCTGAATAGTACTCCACTGTATTAAAAATACTACATCTGCCAGGGATATAGGTCAGTGATACAAGTGCCTGCCTGGCAAACATAAGGTCCAGAGTTTGATTCCTTGTACCAAAAAAAAAAAACCCACCTCTTTTTTTATCCATTCTTCAGTTGATGGGCATTTAGGTTGTTTCCAAGATCTAGCTATTACAAATTGTGCTGCTAAACATGGGTGCACATATATTACTGTGGCATGATGTTTTTAATTCTTGGAGGATACCCAGAAGGGGAATAGCTGGGTCAGAATGAAACCTCTAATTCTAGAGGTTTTTGAGGAATCTCCACACTGTTTTCCAGAGTGATTGCAGCAGTCTACACTCCCACTAGCAGTGGAAAAGGGTTCCTTTTTTCCTACAGTTTTTCCAGCATTTGTTACTGGTAGATTTCTTGATAATAGCCATTCTTTCAGGGTGAGGTGGAATCTGTTTTGTTTTAATTTTCATCTCTTGAATGACCAGTGATGTTGAACATTTTTTCATGTATTTATTTGCTATTTATTTTTCTTCATCCTGAGAAGTTATGTATTTATCTCTGATGCCCATTTTTGGATTGGGTCTTTAAATTTGGGTGGTCTGCTTTATTTTGAGTTCTTTATATGTTCTTGATAGTAATTCTTTGTCTGAGGGACAGCTGGCAAACATTTTTCCCACGCTGTGGGTTGCCTCTTTATTCTGTTGGTGGTTTCTCTTGCTGTGCAAAAGCTTTTTAATAAGACAAGATCCCAATTGTTGATTGTTTGTGATAGTTCCCATGCTATCGGGGTTTTACTCATAAAGTCTTTGCCTATACCAATGTTTTCAGGGGTTTTGCCTATTTCAGTGCACTTAGTGTTTCTATTTTATATTTTTTTTACTCTTTTTTTTTTTTTTTTTGTGGTACTGTGGATTGAACTCATAACCTCGTGCTTCCCAGGCAGGTGCTTATGCTGATGTGCTAAATCCCTGGCCCATATTTTTTATTCTTATTTTATGGTCTTTTTTGAGACAGGGTTTTGCTCTGCAGTTCAGGCTGGTCTTCAACTCACTTTGTAGCCCAGGCTGGAGTACTAATACAGTGAAGTACTATTCAGCCATAAAGAATTCACAGCAGTCCTCCTGCCTCAGCCACTCAGGTGCTGGGATTACTGGCATGTGCCACTATTCCAGGTTTAATATTTCTGTTTTAATATTTAGATTTTTGATCCATTCCACATTTAGTTTATTATATGTTGAAATATGTGGGTCCCATTTTAATCTTCAGCATGTGCAGAGCCAGTTTTTCCAGCACCATTTATTAAAGAGGCTATTTTTCTTCCAGTGAATGTGTTTGGCACCTTTGTCAAAAATAAGGTGGCTTGGGGCTGGGGATTTATTTATTTTTGTCTTTTTCATTTTTACTGGTATCAGGGATCGAACTCACGACCGCCTGCTTACAAGGCAGGCGCTTATGCCGCTGAGGCACTGGGGGCTGGGGATTTAGCTCAGCGGCATAAGCGCCTGCCTTGCAGGCAGTCGTGAGTTCGATTCCTGGTACCGATAAAAAGGAAAAAGACAAAAAAAAAAAATAGGTGGCTTAGTGGATCTGGAGTTATTTCTGCATCTTTTAATCTGTTCCATTGATCTTTGGGCATCTGATTTTCTGTTTTTCTGTCAGTATCATGCTGTTTTTATCACAGTAGCTTTAGAGTATAATTTCAAGCCAGGGATTGATAAACATTAATTCTGGTATATAATCCTGAAAATCAGTGTTGAAAAGTTAGCCATAATTTTTTACATAAAAAATCCTTTGGCTTGAATCCAAACACAGTTGCCATTTAGATCTCTTGCCTTTCTTTTATGTCCTTAACTCAGTCCTCAACATAGGGTGGCCAAGACACAGGAAGAACCTCCTTTTGGTATTTGGCTTTTTTTTAAAGTACTGGAGAGCAAACCCAGGCCTTGCACATGCTAGGCAAGCACTTTGCCACTGAGCTATACTCCTACCCTCTATAACCCTTTTTGGTTTGTCTGTGTTCCAAAATCATCTTCTTCTTTTTTTCCTGGTCTTTTTTTTTTTTTGAGACAAGTTTCATTATATGTTTCAGGCTGATCTTGAACTCACCATGTAGCCCAGGCTGGCTTTGAACTCACAGTGATCCTTCTGTCTCAGCCCCCTGAGTGCTGGAATTACAAGTGTGTGCCATCGCTTTGGGCTTTCCAAAATCTTCTGATCTCTGTACCTCTAAATCCTCTACTTATACTCAAAATATGTGTATAGTTATGCATTTAGAACATGCAGAAATAACTGTTTCTCTTTGTTAAAATAGTCACAGAATAATTCTCATCACATTAAGCTGAGACTATAAGAAGATCATGGCTGTGCAGTGAAAAAGGCATACAAGGTGTGAGAGAAAGTTTGGTAAATGATTAAAAGTGACTACAGCAAAACACACGTTGCCATGAATCCGTCCTCAAATCCTCCCCTCAGTTCAGACACACATCCCACCATCCTTGCCATTTGTGTCTCTAGTTGCCATGGCTACCTTGATGTCCTGGGCCGATTGAAGACATTTCCTCTGCGGGATCATTTAAACTTCGGAGGGAAGCCAGAAGTTGCACGGGGCCAGACCTGGTGAGTAAGGTGGATGAGGGTGCACCAGAATGGGTTTATGAGCCTCCTTTCTGTGGATGGCAGGTGGTAGCAGCGTTCACTATGTGTGTGTGTGTGTGTGTGTGTGTGTGTGTGTGTGTGTGTTGTTTATCCTACTTTATAAACGCACAAAAGAGGACTTCCAGGACTTCTTTGGGAAATGGCAAGGACGATGGGATAAGTGTTTGAATCGGGAGGAAATATTTGGAGAGGAATTGATGACTATATCTTTTATTATACTTATTTATTTTTTTAAATTTGGGTTTTTTTTTTTTTTTTTTTTGTCTTTTTGCTTTTTATCAGTACTGGAGATTGAACTCACGACTGCCTGCTTGCAAGGCAGGCGCTTATGCCGCTGAGCTAAACCCCCAGCCCGTTTTTGTTCTTTGAGATAGGGGCTCTCTATGTAGTTCAGACTGGTTTTGAGCTACTGACTAACCAGGCTAGCTTCAAATTCACACAGGGACCTTCCTGCCTCAGCCTCCCTAGTGCTGGGATTACAGGTGAGTGCCATCACACCTGGAAGTAATTTTTATTTTAAAGAGAATGAAATTTAAAATAGAATAAAGCTAATCAAAACAAAACAGTGAAAGTGATACAGAACTTCAAAACAGGATAGTAGGAAATCAGCAATAGCTATGATAATATCTTGTTACCTTCACAATACTTGTCCATATCATGAGACATAGTAAAATCAAATAAAACAAAACAGAATAAAATCAATCAAAGGCTGAGGTTTGGCTCAGTGGCATAAGTGCCCACTTGGCAAACGCAAAGTCCTGAGTTTGATCCTCGGTACTAAAGGAAAAAAGATAATCAAAACAGAACATTAGATAAAACCAAACAATAAATCAGAAAAAAACTAAACCGAACAATATAGGATTCCAAAAATAAGAAGGAAATCCCTCATATTTGCTGTTTTGCATACTGTTACTCTCCTAATAGGTGCTCAGACTACCTGCCTTGGGCCTGCAAAGTCAATCAGACAGTACAATCATTTAGTTGTTTTTGTGCCTCAGTTGCTGTCACTCAGCCTATGTTCCTCCACACCAGTTGCTTAAAGAGGGGAGCTCCTTGATTTTCTGCCCCTGTACGAAGGGTCAACTGGCTTCTCTCTTCCTGGGCCCCATATGGTTTACATGGTTTATGGGACGGGCAGATTGGTTTCTTGTTGTACTCCTCCCTCACCCAGAGTGGCTTCTCTAATTTTTAAAAAGCAGATCTCCATATATTTTGATCACCCTTACAACTCATGACTCTTTTTTTTAATTTTGTTATCTTTATAATAATTGCTCTTCCAATCACATATATCAAAATGAGATGAAATATAGAACACTATAGAACTTATCAAAACAGAATGTTGAATAGAGCGGTACCATTAATCAGAAAAGAAGCTCATGACTTTTAAATGTAGACTGGCAGTGTTGGATTATCTTTTGATTTTTCCATGGCTAGGTTTCTCACATGCAAGGCAGAAATATTAGAACCCACTCTGTAAGCCTTAGGTGTTTGTTTGTTTGCTTGTTTGTTTTTTGGTACCTGGGATCAAACTCATGACCTTGCACTTGCCAGGCAGGTGCTTGTGCCTCCGAGCTAAATCCCTGGCCCTAAGGCTTTAGAATTAAGTGACCTAACAGATGTCAGAATCACTTGGCATTCTTGGCAGGAAGAGGTCAGGATATGAATATTGCTCTTCTTCCAGTTTCAGTTGAAGAAGCTTAGGAGTCAGCACAGTGATAAAATGAATCATATTTAAATTTCTCCTTCCAACTCTTATGATCCAAACTCATGACTAAGTTACAGGAGAGGCAGATACTCAGAAGTATTTGAGGCAAGATAGCATGGTGATGAAGTGATGGACCGTAGGGTCAGACAGAGCAGAGTCCAGATCACGGGCCAAGCTGCTTTCAGCTGCTCTGAGCCTCAACTCCACCTCCCCCAGCACCTGTGCTGGGGATGGAGATTGAACCCAGAGCCTTGGCACTGAGCTACATGCCCAGCCCTTTCGACGTTGAGATAGAGTCTCACTAAGTTGCTAAGTTGCCCAGCCTGGGCTTGAACTAGTGATTCTCCATCCTCAGCTTCCCAGAGCAGTGGGATTACAGGTGTGTGCCATGATGTCTGGCGTGAGCCTTGACTTCTTTACCAGTGAAATGGGTATGATAGTACAGCTGTCAGGCCAGGCATTGTGGCACCTACTAGTAATACCAGCAGGAGGCTGAGACAGGAGGATACAGTGACTTTGAGGCCAGCCTGGAGTACATAACAAGACCTTGTCTCAACACTCCTGCCTGTACAGGTTTCGTACTATGGTGTCCACTCTGCCTCCTTGTTTTTTTTCCTCCCCTCTTCTCCCTCCATATCCCTCTCCTTCCCCTCTCTTTCTCCTTTTTCTCTCCCTCCCTCCTTCCTTCTTTCTCCTCCTTTCCTTTTTTTAGTTTGTCTGAGAAAGTAGAAGTAAAGAGAATGGGAGAAGCTGGCAATGAAGGAAAAGAGAAAAAAGCAGGATAAAAAAGTGCCCTGAGGAAGCTGGGCATAGTAGCACACACTTGTAATCCTAGCACAGGGGAGGCTGAGGCAGGAGGATCGTTATAAGTTCAAGACCAGCCTGGGCTACAAAGTGAGCTTAAGGCCAGCCTGAACTACACAGTGAGACTCTGTCTCAAAAAGACAAAAACAAAACAAAACAAAAAAGATGCCCTGGGGGATACAGGGGCAAGACAAGACAAAAAGCCTTGGGTTTGTGGTCCTCCTCCTCAGCTTCCTCAGCACTGGGATAACAGGTGTGCACCACCACCCCCAGATACTCCACTGAATTTAGAGGGTAGAGATGATTGCACTTAATGAGAAGGGTCATGTACAAGTATGTTGTAAAAAGTCTATCACTATATTATTACTGTTACTTTTGTTCTTTAAGACAGGTTCCTGCTGTATAGTTCAGGCTGGCCTTGAACTCATGGTAGTGCTCGTGCTTTAGCGTCCTGGGTTCTGGGATTATAGGGGTGTACCACCTGGCCTAACTCTTATTTTTTTAAAAATTTATTTTCATTAATCATTTTAGTTTTTGCAGTGCTAGAAATGGAATTCAGAGCCTCATACATGCTAGGCAAATACTTTACCTATGAGATATACCCCTAGCCCTATTTTTATTGTGTATTTATTAAATTTTCTTGAGGCCAGGCCTTGTTGTATCTAGAGTTCAAGGGTTTTTGAAGGAATGCAAGGGTTCAAGTGATCCTCCTGCCTCAGCCTTCTGAGTAGCTGGATCTACAGGTGTATACCGTGATGCCTGGCTCATGTTTTTTTTCCTAGGCTGAATAACCTTGGTGTGGTTGTTGGCCACTCGTCCCAGCAGTGTGGTGTGGGCTTTTTTGGTCAGTGCGCTGTGAGCTTACCAGGTTCCCTGAAGAGGGGGCTTGCTGAGGGTCCTGGGGGGCAGCCCGGCTTGGGAGCAGCGTCCATGTACATGCACACCGCACCCTGAAGCCCTGCATGGAGCAGTTCTCCACCTTGTGTAGCAGCTGTTCTTGGGTTCTTTCCCCTTCTCTCTCTGCCTCTTCATTGTTACCTCATTATCAGAGCCACTTCCACAGTGCAGGGGTTACAGGTATCCACCACACCCAGCTGCTGCTGCTCCTTCCTCCTCCTCCTCCTCCTCCCCCTCCTCCTCCTCCTCCTCCTCTTTCTCCTCCTTTTCTTATTTATTTATTTTTTGGTACCAGGGGTCTAACACACCACCTTGTCCTTGCCAGGCAGGTGCTTGTGTCATTGAACTAAATCTCTGCCCTCACCGACTTTTAGAGATAGTATCTTGCCATGTGGATCAGGCTGGCCTGGCACTCTCCGTGATCCTCCTGCCTCAGCCTCTCCAGTGCTGGGATTACAGGCATGCTCTAGCATGCCCAGCCTGAATTGGACCTTAAAGGTCAAGTAAACATTTTCCAGGTGTAAAAAGGACAGCAGATCCTGGGCAAAGGCCATCCAGGTGTAGGGAACAGTACTGCGTGGAGAGGACATGCAGCTTTGGGAACCGTTGGTCCTTCTGTCAGGGCAGCAGAGCAGGAGGCATGGGGTCTTCAGCAGTGAAGCCTGGAGAGGGTCAGGCAGTGAAGGGTCTTGGGTTTGTGCTAAGAAGCCTGTTGCTTTTGAAGGGATTTCACCTTTGCAGTTGGGACTGAAATCGACTGGGTTTTGTCTGAAACAAGCAGTGGTTGATCTTTTGTGACTTTCTGAGTTCTGCCGATAGAGCCAGGTCCCCTACTGTGGGCAGGGGCTCCCTGTCCACTACTCTGTGCTGCCAGCCCTTCTTCTGAGTCATTCTCCTCCCTCTATCTAATCTTTTTCATTCGTCAGTTTCTAGTACAGGTCTGTAAACGCAGTCAGGGCTCAATAAATGTTTGTTGAGTGAATCACACCCCTATCAAGGTTGTGTGTATGTGTGTGTACCTAAAAGCCATCTTGAATTGCTTTCACCATCCCAGGCCTTGTGAGATTTGCACTGGTAGAAAGGGATTGGAATGGCTACCAAAAAATAGGGCTGCAAGCCCTGGCTCTCTTCCTGACCAGTCTGCCTCTGGGACAAGTCTCCATGTACTGTCTGGGTGATGGCTTGGCTGTTGGGATGGAATTGATGACCTCTGACCTGCCCTAGTGCCTCCAGGGTGGCTGTGGACCAAGTCCGTGACTGTGGATCTGGAGTGTCTCCCAGAGGCCACGTGTTGGAGGCTTGGTCCCTGGCTTGTATCACTGTTGGGAGAATGTGGAAACTTCAGGAAGCAGGGGTAATTGGTGGAAGTAGATCTTTGGGAACATGCCCTTGGCGGATGTTGGGACCCGATCCCTCCTCTGCCCCTGCCTCCTGGCTGCAGACAATTGAGCATCTCTGCTCCACCATGCTATGGTATGCCTTACCTCAGGCCCAAAGCAGAGAAACCAAGCAACCATGGACTGATACTTCTGAGCCAGAATATACCTTTTCTTCT